GCTCTTTAGCCACACTTGGCCCAAAATATTCAGACAGAATAAGCAAAGAGGGGTTCAACAATCTCCTACTTTCAAAACAAAAATAATCATTTAAATAGCCAAGGGAAGAAAGATAACAAAAAATGTGTAACGACAATATATTTCAAAAAATTGAAAAAGTGTGAGATAATATCCATGTTTTTAAAAAACGTATTTGAATTTATACATCATTTCAAGATGTGTGAAATAGAACTCATGACAAATGAAGACTGAGAAAGAATGTACATAGGTTGATATTATATAGACATTAGATGCATACAGCATCCTGAAGTTCTTTTCAAGGAATTCCTAAGTCCTTCATCCTCACTGACCACATTCTGGTCTCATGAAATCCCTGAGCTGAGCTCTATGTTGAGACTCTGCCTCCTGAGGGAATGGACAAAAGACATGGAAAATGTGTTCTGAAGTCTTCGATGTGAAATAGCACATTCCCTCCTACTCTAGTCTGGAGTTTCCCATTAGTTACCATCAAGGTTTCCTGGAGCCAGAACTTTCCAGATCAAGGCCTAGATGGATTTGTTTGTCCCCAAGGACTGTGTCCATGTACAGCTGACAGGAATCAACTCACCGTGTCCTCACACGGCCTTTCCTCTTGCTCAGACCCCTGGTGTCTTCTCCTGCTTCTAAGGGCACAGATGAGATTGGATTAGGGCCCCACCAGAAGGCCATCACTTTAATCTTATCCTGGATCTCACTGCAGGCTCACCAGGTAAAGTCACCTTCTGATGCACTGAATGTTCCAGCTTCAACATATGAACTTGGGGGGGGGGGCAACACAAAGATCATTATACATACTTTACAGAAAATAGTAAACTACATAATATTTTCAGAAGAAAAATCATCTGTCAAAACTCTCAAGGAACAAAGGTAATTCCACTCCAGGGTACATATCTGAAGAAAACAAAAGAACTAACACCAAAAGATATAATGCACTTCCCATATTTGCAAAATTATTACTTATAAGAGCCAAGACATGGACGCAACCTTACTGTCCATCCACAGATGAATGGATAAAGAAGATGTGGTATATATTAGAATGGAATGCTACTTAGCAAAAAAGAAAAGAATGAAATTTGCCATTAGAAACAACAGGGATGAGCCTAGGCATACAGTGCTTGGTGAAATATGTCAGAGAAAGACAAACACTGTATGTTACCACATATATGTATAATCTTAAAAAAAATGAAACAAAAGAACAGAAACAGATTCACAGGTATACAATACAAACTAGTGGTTACCATTGGGACGGGGAGGTAGGAGGGGTAAGTTAGGGGTTAAGGATTAATAGATACAAACTGCCATAAGTGAAATAAATACACTACAAGGATATATGGCACAACACAGGAAATACATACAGCATTTTATAATAATCTCAACAGGAGTATGATCTATAAAAAATACTGTATCACTAAGTTGTATATCTGAAACAAATATAATATTGTTCATCAACTATACTTTAAAAATAAAATGAAAATAAAATAAAGTATATATGTTTTTTGAGTCATAACGTACATTCTGATGTGCCAGGAGAAAATATGAAAAAATACAAGTGTAGAAATAAATTCCCAAGTTTAGATGAAAGGCAATTCCTTTCATTACATTGGGGAGATGGCATAATTAATACATGACCCTATAAGAGCTCCCTAAATCTTGTGGTAGAAAGGGTCCACACTCAAACTTATCTATTTCATTTTGGAAACAGTCTGTACATAATCTGATGAATGTAAAGAAAAAGGATGAGTCCATTGAGACTGAATGGTAACGGCATAAGTTTAAAATATTCTTTTTAAAAAATTGAAGTATAGTGGATTTACCTTAATATACTAGTTTCAGGTGAAATATTCTGTAATGAATATGGGAGATGGAATTGAAATGCACAAGATAGTAGAATCACCAGGCATTGTATGAGGTATAAGCAAAATGTCCTCGGATACAGTGAAATAATGTGTCCCTTGATTAAATTTTTTCCACTTGGAAATTTAAGCTTAAAGAGCCATCTCCACATCCATAAGATTTCCACTCAAATGTTTAAATCAGCTGTGCATAATATGGAAGTAAAATTACTTATAATAGTTTACTGTGTAGGAACACTTGTATGGATTTTCCTACTAACCAAGAAGCAAAGTATAAAGTTGTCTTCTCATTTTCTTTACACAGTTAATAGATTCTAAACATGTTCTTGAAGGTACTATGTTGTCAGTACTTTAAAAGTCATGCTCTGCAACCCAGCAATAGATTTTATGTTGTCACCTCATTATTTATATTTCAAATGTTCACAGTTCTTCATCTTGCATTTTATTTTTAATTCCAAGTTTCTCCCAGGGAACCCCAGCTTCATTTCCACAGAATCCCAGTGTATCTGATGCCCTGTTATTTGAAGACAGTACAGAGAATGCACTGAAAAGTATTTATGAATGAAGAAGAGAATGATGGATCTTCTCACGGTCCCTGAATAATGTCATTACATCTTTGCTCTCCGACACTGGGTGTGGGTTATAATTTCGATTAATCTGGAAAATCCAAACTTTCAAACCGGATGGGGCGTGGCTCACAGACTGAAAGCCTATTAAGCTCAGGATCTTGATAGGGTGGATCAGGTGGGGCTATAAACTGCTATTCAGGTTTAAAAGGAAGTCAAACAGACAGAGGGAGGCATTTGTTCAGAGAAGAAGCTGGACCGTTTAGGAAGTTGGAGGAAGAGGAACCAGCTGCGGAATCCTCAGAATCCATTTGGCTTCACCCGCTCCTCCAGTTTAGGATTTTGGTGAGTGCTCCAAACTGTGAGGTAGGAGGGTGCTTCCTTCCCTAAAATGTTATGTCTTATCTGTCTCTAGACACATGTCATGGTCTCTGAATCATACTGTGTCAAACATTTTCTCTGCCACTCTCATTCCAAACTTTGACTGTTTACATCCCTTTTTTCAGCTCCAACATTTCTGTCTTAAATCTATTTATCTGCCTGACCTAAGATCCTAATCTTGGCTTTCCAATACAGTACCATGTGGCTTGAACATTTAAATTAATCCAATTAAATAGCTAAATTTCATTCATTGGTACTGCCAGCCAGACTTCAAGTATTCTGTCACCCCACATGTGTGACACTTTCTGTATCACACGATGCAGAGTATGTCCTTTGTCTTGAAAAGCTTTATTGGTCATTGATCTACATCTGATGTTTTTACATATTTGTTTCTAAATATTTAGGTAATTCTCTTCTAAGTATTTCATTTTCTGCTTCTCTGAATTAATTTCCTTTAATGGATTTCATCAGGTGATTTTCCTCACTTTGTTTCTTATGTGTCTTGAGATCTATTTTTATGTTGAAATAATTATCTCAAGATGGAATAAATCACTTGAAATGCTTATTTTAATTCTTCCAAAAAGTTAATATATATTAATCTCCTTTGATTACGACATCTAAGCTGGACATAGCCAAAGTTGCCTAGGTTCCATCTTCTTTCTATTGTAGGCAGCATGTTACATATGCCTGGGGTTTCCCTAGATATCATAGTAATTTACCTATCCCTATTATCAGTAGAAGAAATAGTCTAAGAGTGAAAAAGAATTCTTCACTTCACCTTGGGAATTGTCTGAAGTTGAATGGAAACCAAAGGCAATCCAAGGTCAAGTCTTGATTGGTTTTCCTGGACAGTCCCTCCTGGCTTGGGTTTCCCCAGGAGCCCTGCATAATCTAATCACTAATCCAATCACTTTTTCTTAAGTGGCTTGGGGATTTGTGCTTTGTCCTAGACACTAGATTCCTCTCCACAGTGAGCAGAGGCATGGATCCAGGAATTCATTTCTGACAGGAAATGACACCTAGGCTTTCACTTTGGTTTCGGAGGGAGGACCTGAGAGCAGAAGATTGAGAGCAAATATCTCCAGGGAGATTTCTGTTTCAAGATAGAGGGGATGTGCTGAGGGGCTCACTTTGGACATATGGAAGGAGAGGTTCCCCCCAAACTAAGCGATAAATACAGAGAGAAATAACAGGAGTTTCTTCTGATTATTGTTGTTAGAAGTCATATTACAGGTAAAACCTATTAATCTTTGTTAGGCTATGTGATCAAAGGTATTTGATCACAAGACAGAGACTGAGCAAAATTAAATGACAGCTGTTCTTCCCTCTAGTGTAACCCTGTCATATACTAAAGATTTTGGAACCTCTGGGTGTCCATTGTAAATTGGTAAATAAAGCAATTTCCTTCTAAACCTCATCTATTCCATATTTCTAACCATCCTTGACCAGGAGGATTGAGATAGGCTATGACAGTAACCCTGTGACTCCTGCTATTTTCTGGTGTGGGCGATGTTAAGGACGAGGCTGGCAGGGTGGGTGCTATGGTTCCTCCAAATGGAATAAGTCCTCAATTTAACTCCATCCTAAAAGAGGTCCTAGGGTAATTGATATCCACATCCATGGGGGACAGAACTGATGTCAAGTTTGAGGGAGAGCTGGAAGGCAGTATGAAACACACTGCCAGGGCTGTTGGAGAAGCACTGTGGGCGCATAAGGCAGGAGATGACTGGGGGCATCCAGAGTGCTCACCTACAGCAGTAAACCATCATCTACTCTGCGAGAGTCAGGGTCCCCGAGGGCTGGAATCAGGGAGGACACTGAGTGATTCTGGGTGCCACAAGCTGATGAACACAAAGTCAATGCTTAGCACATTCCTATTTGCGGACTCTGACTTTCTGTGTTAGCAACCTCAGCTCTAGCTCTTCACATGGGATCTGGGAGAGAAGAAGCTGCACAGTATTCCCTGGATGCACCACTGGTTTCTGAGTGCTGGGCTGGGGCTACACCCAGGTGAAGGTTGGGGGCTTGAATTCAGGTGGGTCTGGAAGTACAGGACTGGCGTCTCATGGCTTCTTCTCCATCCTCAGATTGGCCTGCCTAGTGCTTGGATCGGCTGTGAGTGAGATCCCGAGAAAGGCTCCCGGTGACTGAGCTGTTGAGCATGGAGCCCCTGGTAAGTAGTGATGCTTCCTTCTCCTGAAGCTGCACCCAGTCCCCATCCTTCCTCAGCTCAGCCGCCCACTCTGGACAGTGGTAGGGCTGCTCTGTCTAAACCACAACATCTCTGATGCTTTAGGAATCGGTGACGTTTGAAGATGTAGCCGTCGACTTCACCCAGGAAGAGTGGAGCCTGCTGGACAAGTCTCAGAAAAACCTGTTCCGAAATGTGATGATGGAAACTATCACCCACCTGGTCTCTGTAGGTAAGTCTGTCAACAGGGACGTACCTGCACCTGTGTCCATTCTGTTCACTCACTCACTGAACAAGCTATGCTGAGTCCCACTCCAGCTGCTTCCTGATTCTCCGCTAGCCCTCCTAACTACAAAAAAAGGCAGCTGATCCTTTCCATGGTATTTTTTATTACCACACGGAAGGGTTATCTTGGCCAGGTTTCATATCTTTGTTGCTACTCAGTCTCAACATTCAGAACAGAGCTGAGGATTCAATGGATATTGTAATACATAAATAATAGGATAAAGGATGAAATATTTTTTTAAAATAATTCTTCTGTTCCTGTCGCTACACAAAGACTTGAGACCAGAGTACATGTATATGTCATATACATATATATATATATTTTGATTCTTCCTGTAAGGTGAATCCTTACTGGTCCTGTTTGACAGAAATATTCAGCTCACTATAGAGTCTTTTGATCTTTCCCATTTGGAAAAGCCTGAGGATCTGTGACCTCTCTCTGAACTGGTGCACGGGTGTCAACCCTTAGACAGCCTCACTGTTCTTGCTGCTGCTCTGGGTTTCCTCCTGGTCTGCTGAAGGACCTTCACTGTCCTGTCAAAGTAGTTGCTGCATGCACTGACCTTCAACTATCTCTTTATTTTCCTCACTACCTTATCTATGTTTTGTGCATAGCAAAGAGTAATTAGCCTAGACTCAAAATCCACAGCTTTTTTTTTTTAAAATCAAACAGGCTATCCGATCAGCAAATCAGATGTGATTTTCCAGCTGGAACAAGGGAAAGAGTTGTGGACTGAAGCAGCAGACCTCCAAGGTCAGAGTCCAGGTGAGCATCCTTGGAGATAACGATGAAAATCTGAAGTGAGGGATATATCCTAAAATGGAAGTGAGGACATTGGGGCATATTCCTCACATTGTTACATTCTGTGCATCTACCACCACAATTCATATTACTTCCTTCCAGTCACTTCTTCTTCTTCCAGGGAAAAAGTGCTGTGGACTTTCTGAACTTAAAACTTCTACATAGTGATTCTTGTCCTGATCCTCCCATTTAATGTTTTTTCCATCATTTGTTGACCCAGTGTCTCTTCACCACATTTCATTTCTATATTTAATCCTGGTTTTCTTCTAATAGACAATGGCTCTAAAAAAAAAGTTTTTTTTTTAATGTGGACCATTTTAAAGTCTTTATTGAATTTTTTAGAATATTTCTCCAGTTTTATGATTTGGTTTTTCAGTCACAAGACATGTGGGATATCAGCTCCCCTATCAGGGATCAAGCCCACACTCCCTGAACTGGAAGGCGAAATCTTAACCACTGCACCACCATGAAAGCTCCTAGGCAATTACCTTTAAAGTATTTCTACTACCTCAGTACTTTTTGTTATACACAGTCTCTCCATCTAAGTACCAATTTTTGAAACACAGGCACATGGACCTTGGTATTTATCTGTTTTTATTTCTCTAATGCCATTCTAAAATCTATATATTTTTTCCATTTCTGTAGACAGTGAAAGTCTCTTTAGACAACAAGAAATTATATTAATGCAAAGTGTCTACTGGAAGCACACATCCCCAACCAGGACGATGGTAAGTTTCATGGGTGAGAAGCCCAGGAATCAACTGAATGACCTAGTGATGAGATAAGTTGGTAACTGAGCACAATTTCCTGTATGTAAAACACAATGAAATCTTCAAAATTAACCTGATATCTGGGGTCAGGAAACTATAAAGAGAATGTTTGTGCCTGCAGGGGAGTAACACTACATGTGTTTGCAACCAACACTGGACACACTTTAACAGGAAACTATTATCGGCTGATGCTCTAGGGTGAATATGTAGACGATGAGTGTCTACCTGGACATGGGCAAACCAGTAACAGCCTCATATCTCCTCCCCCCAAAGCAGGTTTCTCACCCACAAGGGGATCCTGCTGGATATGCTGATTTGAGAGAGGAAGTTACTCCTACATCTTCACTTCAATATACAATAGTTCCCTTCGGAAGGAAACATAATGTCAGCAAACAGCATGGAAAATCACTTAGTCAAGGGTCATTCCTCGATGGACAGGGTCACAGTCACACTAGACGTAAGTCATGTGAATGTGCTCTGTGTGGGAAAGTTTTTAATAGATGCTCTAGCCTTAGCAGACATAAGATGATTCACACTGGAGAGAAACCATTCAAATGTCAACTGTGTGGGAAAGTCTTCAATCAAAGATTCTCCCTGAAAGTACATGAGAAAACTCACACAGGAGAGAAGCCCTATGAATGTCATCAGTGTGGAAAAGCCTTTAGTAGATGTGCTAGCCTCAGGAGACACAGCATGATTCACACTGGAGAGAAACCATTCAAATGTCATCTGTGTGGGAAAGTCTTCAATCAAAATTCCTCCTTGAAACAACATGAGAGAACTCACACAGGAGAGAAGAGATATGAATGTCATCAGTGTGGCAAAGCCTTTCTTCAAAGCTCTGGCCTTAGTTCACATAAGAAAGTCCACACTGGAGAGAAGCCACATGTATGTCTTGAGTGTGGGAAGGCCTTTACTCATAGTTCAGGGCTTCATGTGCACAAAAGGATCCACATTAGAGAGAAACCACATGTATGCTCTGTGTGTAGGAAGGCCTTCAATAAATATGCTAAGCTGAGGGAACATGAGAGAACCCACAGTGGAGAGAAGCCCTATGAATGTCAGCTCTGTGGAGAACACTTCACTCGTGCCTCTTCCCTTAGACGACACGAGGGAACCCAGCACAAGAGAAAACCAGTAGGACCCTCAGTAGACGTTCTGACCTGAGGTGACATAATCAATATGGAGGTTCCTTCAGGCATTGCGCTGTGCAGTCCAGACAGGCACTACCTGTGGATGTGGATCCACATGTGTGTTATCTCTGTGACTTTAGTCATTAGCCTGACCTCGTGTAACTTAACAGAACTCACTCTACAAACACAATATGGGTGTTTCCAGCAACAGCCCCCAACTCTAAAGCTCTTAGAGGACATGAGCAGAGGATAAGCAACCCCTACTACTTGTTTGATAATTATTGATCAGTATGAACCAACTCCATGGAGAGAACCACTAAAACTGTGATAACCATTGACAACTGTTGAGTTGATCACCAGGTTTGATGTGCACAAGAAAACTTGAGAAAAAAATAAATACAAGAACAAAGATGAATACTCTTGAAAGATACCAAAGTATGCTGAGAAACACCAAATCATACTTTTAAATAAGTCATCTTAAAGAAGTTATTTCATGGAAACTTATGAGAAATGCTTTCTCCATAGAGCAACCCCTCTGGTCCACACATGCTCAGTCTATAGAACACACTCAGTGTTATGACAGAAGGGAAGACTTCAGGGATCACTTTTCACTTCTCAGTCAACATTAAATTCTCACACTGAGGATGCAGCAATCCTAAAATCATAGTGAAGCTACAGCTAGATTTCATGTCAGAAAAAAAAAAAAATGAGGGGGAACCCCTAAAAGAATCCTGTAACACACAGTCAGGCAGTTTGTGATTGGGAGAAATACGTCTTCATGGAAATGTGGTATCAAAGGGAGAGTTAAGTGACCCAGCAACATGCAATGTAGGGTTTTGTAAAATTAAAGTCTGTCCAAAAAAAAGTCATAGTTGAAAATATTCAAACAATAAAGTCTGTGGCTAAAGGAGCTTAGCATTGCTGTCTGGTTTCTTTGGGCCCCTGTAAACCCAGGGATGGGCTTCCCAGGTGGCACTAGTGGTAAAGAACCCGGCTGCCAATGCAGGTAGATGTAAGAGACACTACTTAGATACCTTGGTTGGGAAGATCCCCTGGAGGAGAGCATGACAACCCACTCCAGTATTCTTGCTTGGAGAATCCCCATGGACAGAGGAACCTGGTGGGCTACAGTCCACAGGGTTGCAAAGATTCGGACATGACTCAAGAGACTTAGCATGCACATACAAACACAGGGGTGCAGGTCTGCACTCTGAGAAAGTGGTCAGAGACTTAGCCCCACTCTCTGAGTCCCCCTTTCTCCACAGCTCTTTCCTCACAACTCAGCTTCACTCATTTCAACGTGCCCCCACCCCATCTACCCCTTCAGGCCCTGAGGGTGACACAGCTCTGATCTTCAGCTCCACTGGCCAGATTTCCCAGAATGTCACAACCTGCTCAGGCAAGGTCCTGGGGGAGCCTCAGAGACATCTGGTCCTACATTACTTGAGGCCCTTCAACCTATGTCTGCAGATGGAAACCACCTGGGGCTCAAGAGACAGACATCTCTGCTCTCCTAGACCTCAGAAATCTCTGTTATTCTGTCCCAAAGCCTTAGAACTGAGCCAAGTGGATGGAGGGTTCCTTCCATGATCATACTGTCTAACTTACTCAGCTGATTCCTGAATTATGCACTCAGCTGTCTTACTAAACAGGAACCCAGCCTTGTTACCACCACATAAGCTCATGGAATAAATCTGAAGGAATATAAAATGTGTAAAACTACCAGCCATCACACAAGCAGGTTTTTAAAATAATTAGTGCAATGTACTTTTCCTCCCCCAAAAAATGTTGTCACAAAGCAGATCTCCCCACTTTGTCTGTAGGACTTGGAAAGTTATCCTTTGACACACATCCATATACTTTTCCTCACAAAAACCCTCCCATAGCTTCAGGGCTGAAGGCATTCACTGTAGCTCCTGTTCAAACTGCTACTGTCCCAGGAGTAAGACCCTCCTCCAAACCTTTAAATCATTGGATTCTTTTTTAGCATATGAAAATGGGATACATATTTATGCCTCCAATAATACTTAGGAATTTGGGGAAACATTCTTTTTTCCCAAAACTTGAAACATTGAGGAAAGTATGGAATACCACAATGATTCCTTTCCTCCCAATTCCAAATTCTGTAAGTGACTTCAATTTTCTATCCCTTTCCTAGAGGAGGAGAGTCCTGCTCGCAATGTGGACACATTATGACATACTCCTTTTGCAGGACAACCAGGAAAAGGAGGTTTTGGGGACTGGAAGCCAATAAAAGGGGAGGTAGTAGTCAGTCAAAGGGAGTGGGCCTTTTAACAAGGCGGTTTTGGTGAAAATGAAGCCGAACATATGGCAACCCAGATCTTAAACCTGCTCCCTTGTATTGATATAGAGGGAAAGTGAAAGTGAAGGTCACTCAGTCATGTCCGACTCTTGTGACCCCATGGACCAAACAGTCCATGGAGTTCTCCAGACCAGAATACTGGAGTGGGTAGCCTTTCCCTTCTCCAGGGGATCTTCCCAACCCAGGGATTGAACCCAGGTCTCTCACATTGCAGGTGGATTCTTTACCAGCTGAGCCACAAGGGACGCCCTGAGGGAAGTGTCACCAAAGGTTTACAGGGGGTTTGAACATCTGTATCACAGAACTGAGACTCTGAAATGGGGACAGACCTAGAAGATCAGAATTCAAATTTCTGATGAGAAATCCAGAAATGATTGAAAAGTGAGTGGAAAACTAGGAGGGAAGCCTCTTGGGATAACTAAACATTGCTGTTCAGTTGCTAAGTCATGTCCAACTATTTGCACACTCCTGGATTGTACCCCACCAGGCTCCTCTGTCCTTGGGGATTTTCAGGCAAGAATACTGGAGTGGGTTGCCATTTCCTTCTCCAGGGGATCTTCTACACCCGGGACTGAATCAGAGTCTGCTATGTCTCCAGCACTGCAAGCATATTCTTTACCACTGAACCATCAGGGAAGCCAAATACATTACCTTCAATGAAATAAAGCATTTTTTTTTAAGAACTGCATCCAAACTGTAGGGAAGAATCAAAGATGTCTGACTCTGCAATTTTATTTTGGTAAATGAAAAAATAATTGTTTTGTAGCTTCACTTGATTTAGAGGGTCACCTGGGTCACCCCCCTCTATTTTTCCCCTTCAAACTATAAGTTCTTCAGCTGGGCATTTTCTACTGCAGGGCTTTTGTAGAGAAGGAGCAGGTACTCTATCTCATTAAACCAGTGGGTCAGCACAGCAAGGTCCTTTGAAAGTGGTAAATCCTTGACTTAAGGATGCACATGGAAAACTCTCCCAAATAAAAAGGAGGAATGGGTGTGTGTGTGCATGTGTATGTGTCTTTTACTCACTCAGTCATGTCCGACTCTGTGACGCCATGGATTGTAGCATGCAGGCTCCTCTTTCCATGGGATTCTCCAGGCAAGAATACTGGAGTGGGTTGCCATTTCCTTCTCCAGGGGATCTTCCCGACCCAGGGATCAAACCCGGGTCTCCCCGGGAGACTGCAGGTCTCCACTGCAGGTCTCCTTCCTTCCACACTGCAGGAAGATTCTTTACCATCTGAGCTACTAGGGAAGCCCCCAAAAGGAGGAATAGTTTGGCTAACTGCCTACTTTGAAAGTTAAACAGCCCACCTGCATCATCAGCATCCCCATGCCTAAATATCACTTCTTTAAACTACACCCTAGTTAGATAGATAGATTAGATAGATAGATAAGACAGACACACAGATAGATAGATGTCTTGGTGGGACAGGCCTGGGACTGGGACACTTTGCTGCAATGCTGGAATGCTTGCACCCTACAAAATACAAAGAAACTATAGGACACTAAAAATAACTGTGTGCATGTGCAGTTGGGGTGAATTCTTCACTCCCAAAGACACACAAAGACAAAAACAAACTCAGCTGTCATTTCTGAAGAGCCAGGAGCAAAAACTGAGTGTAGGAGCAAAAGTAGGGTATTGAGCGCCCTCTGCACTCAACACCACAAAAAGGTGGGCAAACCGCCTATGCCACCCTCCAGCTTGACCCCACCCCGACCCTCTCCCCAAATAAGGAAGAAGTTCCC